CCGCCCCCCCCCATATATTTACAGTATATAGTCCAGTCTGACCTGGAATTTACTGAGTATCTGAGGATGGCCTCCAAATCCAGGTCTTTTTACCTCCACCTCCCCACTGTGGGATTACAGGACTAGTTCGAAATGTTAAAAATAACTATTTCTGTGTGGTCTTTATATATGAAGGGAACCTTTCTTCTTTGCTTTTATTAAAAATTACTGAAGCCAGGTATGGTAGTACATGCCTTTAATCCCAACACTCAGAAGGCAGAGGCTGTAAGATATGTGTGAATTTAAGCCAGCCTGCTCTACATAGTGAATTCTAGGTCAGCTAGGACTACATAGTGAGACATTCTGTCAAAAAAAAATTAAGAAGATTAAGTTATGTGCCTATCCCCCTGAGAATTAAAGGTAAATGAGAATTATAGTAACAAAGAATTCAATTTACACTGAAAGTGACATGTATATAATGCAAAGTGATAGACACAGAGCATCCATCAGGATAAGTCAGGTCCATGATGGGACAGTGCTGAGGATGCTTGTACTTACCCAGCTCCAATCTCCAGAGTGGAATCCTGTCAGCCCTGCCCTTCGTGTTTGGCTGTGTCTGCATTATCCTTGGTGGTCTGTTGGCAGATTTTCTCCTCTCCAGGAAAATCCTTCAACTCGTAACTATCAGGAAGCTCTTCACTGCCATAGGTAAGAGCCAAGCTGGCTTCTGGGTGGCTGTGGGAGCTCAGGAGCCTCTTTTTTATGTCTCTTGTTGTGCTGCAGGGGTCCTTGTCTCATCTGGGATTCTCGTGCCCCTGCCTTGGGTCAGGTCCAGCCGTATCACCACAATGGCCTTCTTGGTACTATCGTCTGTCTTCTGCAGCCTCTGTGATTCAGGAGCCCTCATTAACTTCTTAGATATTGCTCCACGGTAGGGATCTTTTTGCCTTATCCTCATAGAAGCTCAGTTCAGGTCCAGGGACCCTACCTACCCTTGCTCTGATGCAAAGGTGAAAGATAGTGTATGCATCAGGTCACAGGGGATAGTAACATCAGTGCTACATCTCTGTAACTCCTGGAAGAGGCTTTGGGCTAGTCGGTCATTGTGAATGCAGCCTTTTCTAGCTGAAACAAGAGCAGTCTGTGGCCATGCAGACACCTCTCCTGTCAGTCTCTGCTGAAGAATGCAGGGGAGATTGGTTACTGGACGGTCTCAAGAGATCTTGTCATGGAGGCCTATGTGAAGCTTAAATAGAGGGAGAGGGTGCTGGGAGAAATGGCTCAGTTGGTAAATACTTGTCAGCCAAGCATTTGTACTTGACTTCCACCCCTAGAACCCACATTATAAGAAATAAAGTAAAATAAGTCAGGTATGCACTTTTAATCCCAGTGCTGGGGAGGTGGAGAAAGCAGAGATTCCTGTGGTTTGCTTGCAGCTGGCCTAACCTACTCAGGAATTTCCAAGCTAGTGAGAGACACTAATTCCAACAGAAATGTGAACAACACCTGAAGAATGATACCCAAGCTTCTCCTCTGGCCTCCACATGTAGCTCACACATATACATGCATGCCAGCATGCATGTGCATGCATATACATCTACAAAAATAAAGGGGAAAAACAGAGAACCAGAGGAAAAATCATTTTCTCTGGTGTGGGTCAGGTCAGAAAGAACTGAGACCAGACATAAAACTTCCAGGGTCCAATTCAGCAACAGGACATATTTCAGCTTTACACAATGGGCCACTGAGACATGTGGGAGATAGGCTGGTCTCAGAGTATAACCATTTCATCACATGAAGGTCTTTGATGCAGAAGGAGGAGACTTTTGTATCCCTAAACAAGGCTACAAGGTTGGGCTCAATAGTAAGAACCAAGAAGCTGATATGTTAGCATAGACTACCCCTGAAGGGTTGAGCCTGTAGCATAGGAGTACAAGTATCATTAGTTAGCATGTTTTGTTCAAGTTTAATATACAGCATCTTAAGTGTTGTAATTTAAAAAATGCTGCCAAGAGAAGTGACACCATACAATAGGACTCACATAGGAGGTTTATTGGAAAAGGAGAGAGAAAGGGAAGAATAAGGGGCAGAGATGGCAACAGAGACTGGTCCCTGGGGACAAAATTGGTGGAAGAGAAAGAGAGAGAGGGAGATAGAGAGAGAAAGAAAAAGATGGGAGATGGGCAGGGCCCTTTTAAAAGGTAACATGGTGAATGTGCACAGGAGGTGTCTTAGTGTCTGTATCTGCTGACATATCCTGTCAGAACTCCAAGGGCAGGCCAGTACAGACGCCAGAATACTAACACTAAGCATCCCCAGAGATAATCATATAGATACCACAGTGCAATGAAACCAAGTTGAGTTCTTTGCTTACGTGAAACTGTCCTTTTCCAGGTATGCTGGCTTTCTCAAAGGACTTTTGCAAGTGTTTTCTCATATATCAGGAGGCATAGCTCCTACTGTTGCTGGATTTTTCATTGGTCAGGTAAGATTAAACATTGTAAGGAATATCAATAAAAGAAACTGAATGGTGGTAGTTAGTAGAAGTCAGTCTAAGGAGCTGTTAGTTCCTCAGTGAGGAAGACCTCAAAGCTCATGAGTCTGGAGCCCTAACATACCTTCATTCCCAGCTCAACTTATGTAGAGAAGTTCCATATTCCATGTGTGTGAGAATGCTCAGTGCCGTGGGTTGTGGTTTGTGAACTCTTACAAGACAAGATTCTCATGTTAAAAAATCTCACATTTCCAGTAATATTCATGGTATTTCTCCTACAGTATAGTATTCATCGTGGTTTATCTCAAGCTGAGGGCTCTCATGATTTTGAGAAGTTTTCAGTGTTAACATCTTGAATGATCTGGGAAAACCAGGATGAAGTGGTTTTCTGTCTAGGAAACTAACCAGTCTTTGGAAATTGATGAGTAAGATGTTTAGTGAATGGATGAGTGAAAAGCTCCCTGCACCTCACACCTATGCTCTGCCATTCGTTAAACTCTTTGCTCCTTGGTTAGAGCAGAAGCACCCTGACCAGAGTGGCTGGGATGCTGGTTTTCATTCTGAAGCCTTCCATCCTGGAGTTGCATTTTGATGTAGTTAAAATAAGCAAGGCACTTGGGAGGCCAGTTTGGTCTACACTGTCTCACAAACAAATCCCCAAAAGAAGAAAAAAGTAAGAATAAATAAATAATTAAACCTGATGATTTGAAAATTGCCTAAGAATTCTAGAGATACACATTTCACATGGAAAAGGATGTCTGTGAAATTTATGAAAATCTCATTTCTAACATTCCCATGACTTTGAATCAGTAACTCAGGAAATGATAGGAGATTAACAAAGAATTTTTGTTTTAATGAAATCAAGTCACTTCTTGCCCTCGAAGCTTCCATTCCTTTCTAGTCTCTGAAAATACAGTTAGGGATTGGTTAAAAGGAAAATTTTCACATAGACCTTGTTTCTCTTGCAATTGTTTTAGCAAACAAACACACAAACGTCCCCCAATCCTATCCCATGAAATCTATATTGAAAAAAATTGACAGAAAACTAAATTATAGACATATTGGTGGTAAGTGCTAAGAGAAGAAGAGAGTAGGAAACAAGACTGGTTTATTGATGTGGTCAAAGGAGGAATCTTTGAAAAGGTGACATTAAGCAAGTACTGGAAAGAAATGAGGGAGTGAGTCAAAAGAGTGCCTGATGGGGAATGCTGTCTAGCAGAGGGAAGAGGGGGTGTGATGGCCTGATGTTAGACATGTAGCAGTATATCCCAGGAGCAAGATGGGAGTCATAAAGACTGGGTTAGTTAGGAGAAGGAGCATCAAGGTGTAGAACCACACCTGTTCTGAACCAGGGTACAAGAAGCAAGCCACCATTATTAACAAGTAGTTTCCTGCCTCTAGGATCCAGAGTTTGGCTGGAGAAATGTGTTCTTTCTGGCAGCTGCTATTGATGTAGTAGGCCTGCTCTTCTACCTCATCTTTGGCCAAGCAGAGGTACAGGACTGGGCTAAGGAACAGACATTCACCCATCTCTGAGAGAAGTGAGCAATGTGTGACATCCTGACACTTCCCTTCAAAGATCTCCTTTTGTGCCTTGGCTGTTAAAGTCATCTAACTGGAAGGGACTTCATTTCCAGGGTCATCTCAGAGATCATTGCTATGTGATACTAAAGGTAATTCCCCCCATACAATTTGAAGTTTCACAAGGGAAGGGAAAGATTGGTTGTTTATAAGGGTATGCTCCTGGAAGCACAGGTGTGTCCGACTTTCTATGAATACTCTACTTTTCCCTGTTGCCACGGTAAAAGCATCAAGTGCTGGAAGACAATTTACCATCAAAACTAAAGAGGAAGCCAGAGTACAGGAGTGATGAATTGGAACCATGGGAGAGTGGTACCATGAACTCTGTAAGCTATCAACAAGAGACCTGACAGCCTGGAAAACAATGTCTACATGCTGAAGTCATTTGGCAGGAGGCCAAAGTGGTCTTGTGACCATTGTGAGCCATTGTGAGTCTTGATGTGTGCAGAGAGTCTAATTGAAAACAATCAGAATAATGAACAATGAAGAGTAAATCTATCATGCAAAAAGGAATGAACTTTCTTCAGCTAATACAAGTTGGGTAATAGAATGCAACTATTCCAGATAGTTTTCTGTCTGTGGATCTTGGCTTTGGATCAAAATCACTTCTAGAATATAAATACCACTCAGGCACTCTCTGGAGTCAACTCTTCCACAGTTTCCTTCTTTGCTTCCACTCTGACGTGGGCCCCATCTGGATGTGGATCTGTGCAAATCCCTTATGTCTTAGTCTTAGTGAGCAGACATTGCTTTGTGTGTCTCTGATCTCACGTTTTGCTTTGCAGCATCAGTTTCATCATAGCTGCCCTTTGACTCATGTGGTTTCAGCCATTGTTCCATGAATCTCATTCAGTGTAGAATGTCTCCTAACAATGTCAGTGAGACCCATGCTTGCTCCAGCTCATTCCAAAGAACTAGAGAGAGTGTGTGGTGTCTCTTTGCATTAAGGATCCACATGGATGACACAGTGACTACAAAAGAGAACATAAACACTCAAACACTAAGTGAATATTAATGAATATATTAGTGTGTATGAAGACATGGCAGACATCACAGTCATGCACAGCTTGAAATAGCTCACTATCACAGAAGGATAGATAACTTTAATCAAAGTATCACAAGTGAGTGTGCAGTGATAGCTGTGGAATATGGAACAAGGAGGAATATGGAATATCTTACTAGAATAAGTAAGTGTCATGCACTAATTTAATGGTGAGTGCTGGCCATCACCATTACACAGCATCAATTGAGCTGGTATAAAAAAGTTACCTGATATAGGAGGCTGATGGCATGAATATTCAAGGAAGAATCTCTGGGAAGATCCACGGCATATACAAAGAGAGAAAAGTCAGGAGTGAATGAGAGCAGAATTGTCTGGGAGGCGATTAAAGAAGAAAAATCAGGAGTGAATGAGAGCAAACTGGGATGTGAGGAGGTTATAGCATTACTGAAGTCAAGAACATCCAGGGCATTGTGGACCCAGTGAAGAGTATTGGTCATTATGGCAAAATCAGTGGCAGTATTTTAATGGAAAGGGATGTAATCAGGGTTCTGATTTTCAGTGGCCACACTGCATAAAAAATTGTTTATGAGGTGACAGTGCAGTCCAGGAGAGTGGTGGTCTGTGGCCTGGGTGGAGGGGACAGTGGGAGATAAGCAAGTGGAAAGCCTGGCCACAGTCTAGTACTCTATGAGAGTGGATGTTGTCTACAGCAACAGTTGCATTTGGTTTGTTGTTAGATCAATGAGGATGCTTCACACAACGATAACAACATACACAATGAAGACCACAAACAGAAAAATGGACACAAAGGTCTGGATGGCACATGTGACATTTGGGGTCCCGTATGAATTTGGTAACAAATTTTTCAATTTTCAATGAGATTGCCAGGGTGGATAGTATGACATAAAAGAGAGCCTATGACTAATCCTTCAAGATTTCCAGTGTTTAATGGTCAGTTAGCGGATGATTAGAGAAAGAAGGGCGAAAGCACAGCGAGAGGAAGGGAGGGAGGAAGGATAAAAATAATAAAAGGCAAACTAAGAGAATATTCTTAGGATGGAGAAGTGGAAAGGATGAATTACAAAGAGAGGTGATCAGTCAGCATGGCATCAATCTGCAGAGCTCTGGCTGATAAGTAGAAAGCAGCATGAGAAGAAAGGGGTCCACTTCTGAGACCGTGGAAGCAAAAGAGTGGGATGGAGAAAGGTGACAGGATCCAGAATCAAAGAAAGTTCGGAGGAAGCTTGTTGAAGACTCCTGAGGCAGAGCTAGTTGAGAAATGAAAGTGGCAGAAGGGAAAGCCTCAATCATGACTGGGAAGTTCCTGGGAGAGGGTTGAGGAGGGACTGTTGTGACCTAAAGCCCAGCTAGGAAGATAACAAGGATGGAATGGAGGTGGCATTACCTTTTTACTGACAGTGCAAGGTCATGTCCGTATTTGCTAGTGAGAAATCCAAAGAGGGTTTCATCTAAGTATCTTTCCTTCTACTTGAAAGCACAGTGAGTGCATGAGTGGTTTGTGGGTAAGACAAAGGCTACAATGTTCTTACTAGACAGAAGAGAGACATGGCAGAGATGCCCAGCTGGTGGCCAGGCAAGGTCTTTGCCTTTCATACAACCCCTGGAACAAGCACACATTCTTCCTCTTCTGGTCCATTCCCGAACCAGGGCATGCATCATTTGACACATCTTCAGAAAAGTCTGGGGCGCCGTTTATGTAAGTACTAATAAATGTTTGATAAGTCACTTATTGGATCAGCTCTGAGATGGTATAGAAGACCAGTTAAGGGCACAAATGGAATAGGAAAATGTCCTAGTTTCTGCCCTGCTGACATTGTGACAAATACCATGACCAAAGCAACTTATAGGAGGAAGAATTTATTTGTCTTACACATCTGGTCACAGTCCATCATTGAGGGGAGTTAGGGCGGGAACTCAAGCAGGGACTTGAAGCAGAAGCCATGGAGGAATGCTACTTGCCAGCTCACCCACAGGCTCATATTTTGCTAGCTTTCTTACACAGCCTAGGACTATGTCCTTCAGGGTGGTGCTGCCCACCATGGGCTGGACTGTCTTGCACCAGCTAACAATCAATCAGTCCTCCATAGGCAAGCCCATAGGCCAATCTGATCTGACCAATACTGTGATTGAGACTCCTTCTCAGGTGACTGTAGGCTATGTCAAGATGACAGTTAAAGCTAATGGGAACAAGAGAAAAGGAAGCAATTTTCCCACAAATTTATATGCCTTGCTTTCAGAGCCCATGGGCTCTTTTTCTTATGGTGTTACAGTATCAGAAACCTGGTGTGACACCTTTACTCTCTTTGGCAATCCTGCAACTGACCCAGGTCTTATTAAAGGCACAGAGTCAGCTATCCAAGGTCTTCATTAATCTATCTCTTTTACTTCCCATGACTCTTTTATTTTTATTTTTGTTTCTTTTTTGAGATTTACTTAATTTTATTTTATGCGTACAAGGGTTTTGCCTGCATGTATGTCCATGCACTGTAAGCATGCAGTGCCTGTGGGGGCCAGAAGAGGCCTTGAAACTGGAATTAATCATGGTTAGCTGCCATGTGGGTGCTGGGAATCAAACCCAGGTCTTCTGGGAAAGCAGTCTTCTTAACTGCTGAGCCATCTTGCCAGTCCCTATTTTTTGTATGTTAATCAATCATCTTTAACTGCGGCATAAAACAAGTTTGACTACTCTCTGGGTCCATCAAAGAGGAAGCTGTTTTTTTCTATATTTTCTTTCAAAATGGGCCATCCTGAAAGAATAAAAACAATTTAAGATTTTTCAAATGGTTTGTATATTTACAACAAAGAGGAATGAATGTTAAAAATTGAAAACAAAATGAATGAAACCAAAACCAAACCAAAAGGCCTCTCATGAAGTTGTAAAGTTTCATCTTATGTTTGTGTACTGGATCATAGAGGAAGACAGATAAATAAATCCACCTTTAAACTCAGACATATAACTTTTTACATATAATACACAGTGCAAAAGAAGCACACAGATTAAAGTGTGTGAAACTGGCCCCTCAGAATCCTCATGCCACCCACTCCTGGTGTTAGTGGCTTTCTGGGGACGGTGGTCTCAGGCAGGTTCCACTTCCTTTCAATAAGGACTCTGACCTCATGCTTCACAGGTGCTCACTTTTCTATTAACTTTTGTAGAAAAGGAAAAGCAAAACACACAGCGATGTCACTGGAGAATCCTTGCACTCAGAGAGTGTGCCAACACCTCAAAGAAATTAGTTTAGGCTAGGAGATTTTTCTCAAGTTGTCTTTCTTGTCCAGTGACAGGTTATACATGACATTTTCACCTGTCTCCCCTATGGACATAAAAATAAATACAACTGCCAGGTGTCGACTTGCCTTCTTCCTCTGCCCTACCCTGGGAAACCTATGTGAAAATATCTGAATAACTTTAGTATTTTGCTAGGTCCAGTCTCAGGGCATGGAGATACTCAGTGCTATGTGTTGAGGCTGCACCCTGGAAACAAAATTAGGAAAGAAAAAGCCACTGTGCCACAGAGTTGGCAATCCCGTAGTTTGATATTGCAGCTCTCAAAACAGCATATGACATTATAGTAGTAATAGCTACATTCTCTGTGTTCCCAAATTTCAGCTTTTAATAAACTAATTTGTTATTAAGAAAATGAATATAAAACCTTTCTTGGTGATTCTGCACCAAGCACATACTCCAATTTCCGTGTTCCTGCACTCAAGCACCATCTGCCCTTTCTAAGAATCACTTTTGCCACCTATAGAGGTTACTATCTGATGGACTGGAGTAAACCTGACCTTTGGCTGTTAACAGGCATCCAGACCAAGTCCTCTGCATCCATACACCCTGTCTAGAAGCAGCAGAGAGGGTGAGGCCAAGATGTTAAACCAGGGTATACACCCAGAATCCTAACTAGAACAACAATGGAGAAGGCACATGCTA